TGGCAGCGTTTTGCGACCATGAGGCTCTCAAGAGAGACATGTTGGGGAGGCCAAGCGGCAATTTTAGCTGAGACGTCCCACCAAAATCGGCGCGAACGGGCTCGTGAGATCAGCCAGGGTGGCTCCCCCTTGGGGCTCCCAAATGATGCCCCTGGCAGCGTTTTGTGACCATGAGGCTCTCAAGAGAGACATGTTGGGGAGGCCAAACGGCAATTTTAGCTGAGACGTCCCACCAAAATCGGCGCGAACGGGCTCGTGAGATCAGTTACGGTGGCTCCCCCTTGGGACTCCCAAATGATGCCCCTGGCAGCGTTTTGTGATCATGAGAGAGTGTGAGTGTGAGTGAATGTGATTGTGAGTGAGTCTGAGTGAGAGTGAGTCTCATCTTATCTTATCGAGACCTATCTTATCTTACCCTTATTACCCTCTATCTTATCTTATCTTGAAATATATTATATTGTATTAGCTTATCTTATATCAACTCATCTTATCGCATCATATCTTGTCTTATCTTATTACTCCATAGGCTGTCTTATCTTATATATTACCATACCTTGTCATATATCTTATCTTACCTTATCATATATTGTGATATCTTATCTTATCTTGTCGTATCTTATCTTGTCTTGTCTTATCTGGTGATTATCATTGGGAGGAGGGAGGCGCGAGCGGGAGGAAGGAGGAAGGAGGAGCAGTGGGAGGCGTCAGAGTAATAACAAGAACCCCAATCCTTAGGATATGGGGAAAAAACACACAGACACAATGAATCGTCGATTCCCAGGAAAATATGGGAAAATATGGGAAGTGGGGGGGAAGACAAAAACCTAGAAGATATGGGAAACTATGCAGAATATTTTTATTTGTGTGTATTTATTTGTGTGTCCCGGGGCCCCCTCACATGTCCCCTCCCGGGTGGGCAAGTCGGCCAGCGGGGCCGAAGGCCTCGCTTGTGGGGCCTGGGATCGGTCCAGCGATGCTCAGAGGCGGTCGCCGCGGGGTGCCGCCGAATTTCAGAAGTGTAGCAAATCCGTTGTGCTTTTGACTCCCGACCCCGCCGATCTGCGCGAGGGGTGCCACCGAAAGTCAGAAATGTGGCAAATCCCATGTATGGTTCGACCCTGACCCCGCCGATCTGCGTGAGGGGTGTCAAAACCGACCCCCGCCAGAAATTCTGAGCACGCGAGCTGGGCGTGGTAGAAATCACGCTTTGCGGCTCCCCCCCCCCCCCTCGCGCGGTCTACAACAAGGAACAGTGAGAAGCAAGAAGCAGAACTAAAACAGTGGAAACTGGGAAATGGAACTGGCGCAGGGAACAGCAAACCCTGGCCCTATAGTCTGGTGACCCCACAAGGGGGCCAGCGGAGTTTCGGCCTCCGGAGGCCCTGCGGGGCAGTCAACCAACGCTTCGAACGAAAAACCCGTTCCGACGAAATGGGTCGAAATTTCTTGGGGCCGACGTTGTGAAATGTGGGGGGGGTTGCTGGAGAATCAATGCTCCAGGCCTGGTCAGGCTGTCCACTTGGATACTACCACGCCGGCGCGCCACAGTTGAGCGGGCCGCGCGGATTGCCCAGAACTCCGGCGTTCCAGTGCCACATCCCCAGCAATTTTCGGGTTGACCCACAAGGGGGTCCAGCGACAAGGGGGTGGTGCAATAGATTTGCTGCCATAGATTTGTGCGGTTGCAATACGTTCGGGGCGTGCAGTACAGTTCGGGGCGCGAATGTGCTGCTGCATCTTCGGGCGCAATGCATTACTCGCAATACAATGCAGTACAGTTCTCCGGCACAGTACACTTGCACCACCCCCTTTCAGCTGGACCCCCTTCTGGGTCACCCAAAACCCGAGACGGTGCCTGTTCGGGAGCGGTTGGCGCTCCGTGGGCCCCCGCGAGCCTCTCCCCGGGTCAGCTATGTCGCCCCCCGGCCCCAGGAAGTGGCTCCCGGGGAGGTCCCAAATCGGATACAGCCAGTATTCTTGGTGAGGGGACCCGGTTAGTATTAAGTCGGGCGTGTCACTCTACAGGATTGTGATGCGGGCGATTGTTCTACTATGTTTGGATATGTTTGAACATTTGTGGGGTAGTTGTGTAATTGTTTCGTCCAAAATCCGCCTGTAGAGGGACGCGCCCGACCTAAGGCTAGTAGTAGGGCCCCAGAGCCTTTAAATTTGCCATAATCTCTCAAGCAGGTATGCCGTAACTTGTGTTCTTTTTGCGGGTGACGGCGGTTCCAGCTAGTGGAATGGGGCGGCGGGGGGCGTCCCCCGGTGCACAGCACTAAACCAGGTCCCATTAAACCCAGTCCTGCCAACGCCCGACCAAAGTGGTGAGGAGCGCGGGGGGTTCGTAGTGTTAAATCGGGCCTGTCCTTCTACAGGAGGAATCGTAAAACAATCACAATAAAAAATTATATGGGGACGTCTTTTTTTAGATTTATTTGTTGACTAATTATGTGTGACTATTCTTGGGCCATTTTTCGTTTGTCCTCCAAAATCCGCCGCCCGACCTGATCGTAGATGGGGGGGGTTCTATCGCAATGTGGGGTTCGGGACCCGGCCCTGCTCGCTTGAATGATCAGATTCTCTTCTCCCAGGCACCGTCCAGAACGATCTTCCTCTGACCCCTTTTCTGTTGCTGCCCCCCCCCCCCTTTAGCGTTCCCCGGAGAGGTGGCCGTCTCGATTGTTTCGAGCTCTGGCAGGCAAGTCTTCGGACGCTTCCACACGTCCAAACGTTTTCCAAATCGTGGCGTCGAACCTCGATCCTTGAATCCTAACCGTCCGCCTCCCCTCGAACCTCGAACTTCCAGCATCGCGCCGCGACCTCGAGCCTGGAGGCTCTCTTGGTCCTTCTCCCTCGGGCTGTTCCTGAGGCGCCCCTTGTGCATCTGGGCTCTTGCGGGTGCAACATAGAACCTCGCTCCAAGTTTTGGGAGCCTTGCGTCAAGGCTTCGACTCAGATGTGCGCGCTGCCCTGTAGGCGCAGTGGCCGGCGAATTGCCGCGCTTGGTGGGCGAGTGAGCCCCCCAGAAAACAATACATGCCAGCCAGCGTGGACTCCGAAAAGTGTGTTGTGGCATATTGTGTGGTGTCAGCTCTGTGGTGCAAGCTACAGTCAGCTGGCCTGTAAGGATGGGCAACCTTCCCAAGGGTAACCTTGCATCCTTGCCTCCTCGGTCCATCCTTGGCCACGTTCGGTGGCCGCGACCCGCTCGAAAAGCTTCGGAATGGGGGTCCAAGGCCCTTGCACCCTTGTCGCGCATCCGTCTGATAAGGGCCGACTGTAGTTATGTGCGGTGCAATCTATCGGCTGTGCTGTGCTGCACCCTCGCTCCGACCGCCGCCGCGCGCGCGCCAGGGCGCAGCTCGCGCTGCTGGCCGCGCTGCTCCTCAGCCAGCCATCCTCGGGCGGCCCCCGCTGTGAGGCGATGGGGCTAGCCCTCTTACCGGTTTGAAACATATCCCTATCCCTCTGTTTGACATCACCTCACCTCGATGCCGATCGTAAGGGTTCCCTCAGTTTCTGAGGGCCTGTCCTGAGATTGTCCTCGCTTTTTGCTCGCCCATCTTAGGGATCGGGATAAGTTCGAGGCTGATTAGCCCTCGCGCCGGCGGCGGCGGCGGCGGCGGCTGCGACGGCGTCGGCCACGGCGGCGCCGACGCCGACGACCACAGCGGCGACGACCAAGGCGGCGACGTCGACGACGACGACGACCAAGAGCACGGCTGGCGGCGACGATGTGGACGTCGACGCGTCGACGCAGTAGAGAGGGCAGCCAGCGTGAGGTCAAACGAATTGAAGAGTCGAGTTTGGTGAACGATCTTTTGCAACTCGAGCGCTTCCTGGTCAGCCTCTGTTGGGGGCGGGGCTCAAGGGGCCTCCCAGGGTCGAGAGCCATACGGGGTCAGCGAGCCAGGGGGGCGCGGAGGCGGGGGCCCCTCAGGAAGTTGCAGGGAGCCTCGTCAGACAGCCTCGGCGCGGAGGTTTCGCTTCGCTGCCTGCCAGTGGGCCCTGTGGTGGATGCGGGGTGCTTTGAGCTTTACAACGGAACAGGGTCACAAGGATGAGTCATTTCCCAAATATGCCCTTGCATCCTCGCCTCTCTGCCCAGTTTAGACATTACCCATGGGCCATGTGCTTCCAGCTTCGGCTTCGATCTGGGCATCCACAAGGCATCGCATCCTTACCACGCTACCTTCCGATCCGGTCGGACTGTATGTGTGTGTTTTTCATTCCCCAAACTGTGCTTCCACCCAGTGGTCCTTACTCGTCTCACGAGAACCTGGGCCTGGTTGCCGGTTCCACCACCTTGTAGCCGCCCGTCGCCGCACCATTTTGTTCACGATTTTGATTGTGCGAGGCCCGCATTATGACGTTCCAACTTATTTTAGCCTCGATCACCAGAAATAATTTCGAGCACCACAAAAGTACCGAAACTGCGGGAATTTCACGTGTCGGGCCCTGGGAGGCGATACTGTTTCTGGGTGCTCCAAGTTATTTGTGGGATGTGGCCCTCAGGTACGATGGGAGCAGCATAAGGCTCGCAACTGAGACGGTGCGCCAGTCTGTCGGGCCTGTGTCCGCCCGTCGCCGCCGTCCGTCGCCGCACCCTGCTGTGCACGATTTTGATTGTGCGAGGTTCGCACGTTGCCCGGCACTGTGCGGCACTGGCTGGCATCGTTTTGTGTGTTTCTTTCGCTCTGCTTTACATCACATTGCTTTGCGCCTGTCTGCTTTGCGTTGCATCCCGTTGCATAACTTCGCACGGATGTGCATTGTTTTTCATTGTTTCACATCTGTTAGCATAGCATTACATTACTTTGCACTGCTTCGCATTGCACCGCATAGACTGCGCCACAGAGCATGCTAGAACACACTGTTTGGGCTCCACGCTGGCCATCACGTGTTTCAATGTCGCATATGATCGCAGCTCTGTGGATCAAGCGCCTCCTCCTCCTCCTCCTCGCGTCTGTGGCCCAGGCGCTCCCACCCGCGCGGCCATGGAGGGCATCGTCTTCGTGGAGAGCTCCCAGCTCGAGCAGTGCGTGGAGGGCATCACCATCGTGGAGGGCGCCCATCTGCTTGCGTGCTCACAGCCGCACGAGTTCATTGCTGTCACCTTCGTCGCGCCGTCGGGCTGGTCCCACTGCTCGAGCGTGCCCCGCGACATCACTGCCTCGGGCCTGCACTCCATCGCGCAGGGCCTCTTTCCGGACCGGACGATCTGCCTTCGTCGAGCTGCGTCTCCCATTCTCGTCAGCACCGCACCGAACTCGATTATCGTACCAGATAGCGCTCAGCCGTTCCTTAATGAGACCTCCCAGATCGTCGCAATCTCTCTCACTTGGCTGCCGCGGTGCGTCGTTGCCGAGCCGTGCCCTGACAGAGAGCAGATCCACTGCGAGGAACTGGTCCGCTGCGAGAAGAACTGGGTCTACGCAATCAGAGCGAAGAAGTGGGACTCCGCCAGAGCCGTCCTCCTGTCCCACGCGCGGCCGGATCTGCTGGTTCGGCAGCGCGACGGCGGCGGAGAGACGCCGCTGGCCTGGGCGGCATACGGCGCGGGGAGCTGCCGAGCTGCGGCCGACCTCGTGCACCTCATCCTCAAGGCAGCGCCGGGCGAGGCGGCAGTCGTCTGCCCCGGCACCGGGTTTACGCCGCTGCACGATGCGGCCTGGGGCAACGCCGCAGCCGAGGTGGCAGCCCTGCTCTGCCTGTTCTACCCCGAGGCCCTGTTCGCCCGCGGCCGGTCCGGGGAGACGCCCCACACGGTGGTCGGTGGTTCCGAGATGGGGTCCTGAGGGACTTGGAATCGCTCGGACGTGAGCATTTTTTCCTCGGTGGGGGACCATCGAGAAGCATCCTTGATCATTTGGCGAAAAACCGCGCACGAAACCGAAAAAACACAGGGAATGGACGTCCGAGCGATGGCGAGGGGATGGGTCCTAATGACGAGGTGCCCGTGTAGATCCACCCTTGGATCCTTTCTCGTCCTTACAGGACCCCGTCCCTCAGGATCCCATCTCTGAACGCCCGAGGTGGGCCGTTCGATGCACCTCGGGTTCTCCTGGCCCCGCCCCGCGGAGCTGCTGGCGGCGGCCGCCAGCCTCCTGTGGAGGCGGGGCGCGGAGGCGCTGGGCGCCCCCGCCGGCACGGCAGAGAGGCTCGAGCGCTGCCTCGCCGCGGTCTGCGGTCGGCAGCACCGCGACGACCGAGACGACCGCGCGCTGCCTCGGGCCCCGGCCCCGGCAGCAGCCGCGCCGGAGCCGGGCGCTGCGGCGCTGCGACGAGCGCCGCGCCGCAGGAGAGAGTCGGGAGCCTTGAGACGGGGGTGGACAGAACCCCCAACAGTGACACGTCGATTAGTGAATTGTCCGTTTTAGGTTCTCGAGAGGGCGCCTCGGCCGCTATTTTCCAGGCTTGCGCCCGCTAGGTTTGGGCCTCAGGTCGTTTTCACTAAACCACGTTTTACTAAAGGGGGATCTGTCCATCCCCGATTGAGACGGGGGTCAATGCAAACGGGGGTCAGCCACGGCACCGGATCCTGCAGGATCCTGCGAAGACCCCCTCTGGCTGACCCAGGTTCGCGAGCCGCTCGTGGCCGCGGGGCGGCCGCACATAATTGGCTGACCCGGGTTTGCGAAGACCTGCGTTGCAGTGTTTTTTTCCTGCTTTGCAGTTTTTGGTTTCCTGCTGACCCGGGTCTGGATTGACCCGGGTCAGAAGACCCCCGACAGAGGAGGAAGTACCGGTATTGCTGCTCGTGCTGGATGGCCCTCGTCGCCACGGCTGGGCTCGCCTCGAGGTTCGGGTCCGCCAGCGCCCCGCGAGAGGTCCAGAGAGTGCGGTAGGGTCACGTCGTGTCGACCGGCGGCGACCCCGCAGCCGGCGTGCAACGTTGAAAGCAGCCAGCGACCCAGTATCGGTCGATGTTGAACAATCTGATTGCGAAGGCCTTGCGGCCAGTGCCGCCGACCCTGAGAACGACGAAGACGAAAACGAGGGGGGCAGGGGGAGGAGGATGAGTGGGAGGTGGAGGAAGGGTGGGGGAGGTGGATGAGAGAGGAGGAGGGGGGAGAAGAATGTGGAGGAGAAGCAAGAGGAGGAGAAGGAGGCAGAGGAGAGCAGGAGGAGGGGGAGCAGAGGCGGTGGGGAGGAGGAGGAGGAGGAGGAGGAGGAGGAGGAGGAGGAGGAGGAGGAGGCCAGAGGCTTTCTTGGGACAGCCTGGGGCTCTCTTGAGGCCGTCTTGGGCCGTCCAGGGCTCCTCTTGCGCCGTCTCGAGGCACTCGTGGAGGCCTCCTGGGCAAGTTGGGGCTCTCCTGGGCTGTCTTGGGGCAATCTTGGGGGCCTCTTGGGCCGTCTGGGAGGCGTCTTGGGCCGTTTTGGGACCCTCTTCGGCCGTTAGGGGACCCTCTTGGGAACCTCTTTGGCCGTCTCGGGGCGATTTTGGGGGCCTCTTGGGCCGTCTTGGCGCGTCGGGAAGCGGAAGATGCAAGAACGCCAAAATCTGTAAAAAAAAAAAAAAAACGCATGGGAAATCCATGAATTTTGCCTTTTGGGGCTCTCGTGGGAAAGATCCTGGAGGCTTCTTGGGGCGCTTTGCAGGCCTCTTGGGCCGTCTGGAGGCCGTCAAGGCGTCTTGGACGGATCGTTCGGCGATTCGGGGTTCTCTTGGACGGTCTTTGGGCCTCTTTGGGCACTCTTGATGCTTTTTTGGGCTCCGGGACTCCCCGGGGGGGCGCTCTGGGACCCCGGGGGGGCGTCGTATCTGCCCCCCCCCCCCCCCTTGGACCCCCCCCCTCCCGACGGGGAAGGGATCGAAGGGAAGGGCTTCCATTCGACTCAATTACGACGTTGCTCAACTTCGCTTTGGTTGGCGCGCTGAGGAGGTCCCTGGAAAAGAAAGGGAGGAGCTTCGACGAGCCCAGGGAAAGGGGGAGGGAGGCAGGGAAAGGGGACGACAGAGATGACGACCAACGAATGACGGAGATGACGACTTGAACGGACAAGCCCCTCACACACGCCAACAGGGTCGGTGGATTTTGACGGCCGATCGTTCAAAGTTGAACGATCCCCGCGGTGTCCGAAACAAGCGCCGACGTCGGCGTCACACGAACTTGCCGTCGCGGTATCTGTATCTTGTTGCCTCCTCAGCAGGGCGGCCGCCAGCGTCGCGCAGGCGCCGCGCGGCGAGGACGCCGACTGCGCGCCCAGTCCGCCGCTCGCCGCCGACGTGCTGCACTTCTGCGAGGCGCGGGCGAAGAGCCGCGGGCGGCTCGCGGGTGCCAGAGAGGTCCGGCACAGCCGCTGCGGCTTCACGGAGCAGGCGGTCGTCGCGGTGGGCGGCGCGGGCTGCACGTTCCGGCTGAGGTTGTATCGAGTCCGTGCCATCCACGAGGAGTTGGTTACCAGTTTGAAGCATATCCCTATCCCTATGTTTGACATCACCTCACCTCGATGCCGATCTTAAGGGTGCCGATCTTAAGGGCCTATTCCTAAGATTGTCCTCGCTTTTTGCACGCCCATCTGAGGGATAGGGATCAGTTCGAGGCTGGTTAGTTGGTGAGGCCTCGGGTTGCGCACAGACAGCTCACCCAGGTAGGCCCAGCCAGCTTCAAGAGGCGCCCCCGCCGGTAGTCCCAGCTGGCTTCGCCAGGCCCCCAGCGTCAGGGCTGGACCTGAACGCTGTCCTGCTGGACTTCGGCTGTGTTTTGTGTCTCGTCTTTTCCAGGGAGGTACAGGGAAAAAACAGGTAGAGCAGAACGAAAGGCAGAACGAAGCTGGAACGCAGAGCAACGTTCAGGTCCAGCCCTGCCCAGTGTAGTCTGGGGCGGCCTCAACGCCCCAGCCTCGGGGTGTGAAGCGCCCCTGGGGCGCCGCCAGAGGCGGGGCCAGGGTGCTGGGACTGCCCCCGACAACTCGGGGCGTGGTGGCAGCGGCAGCGAGCCCGCTGGGCCCGCAAGCGGCGCGGCGCGGCGCGGCGGGCCGGGAGGACTCCGGCCTCGGGGGCCTGCCGAGGGGCCAGGTGGGACTACTCGTAAGTCGGGCCTCTCCCCCATACAGGGGGATTTTCTACGAAAAGTAGAAAATACCCCAAAAATAGTCCAAAAATAGTCTGGCGACTATTTTCTGAATATTTTTTGGCCTTTTGGGGTATTTTGAGGGTATCTTTTTTTTTTCGTCGAAAATCCCCCTGTAGGGGGACAGGCCCGACCTAAGACTACTCGGAGAGGCCCGCTGAGGCCAGCTGTGACTGCCTGGGGGGTCTGTCCGCGCGCAACCCAGAGCCTGGCCGCCAGGAAGTGCAGCGCGGCCGCGCGGCTGCCAAGTGGCCGTCGAAGGCTCCGGCGCGCCGCGAGAGGGCGCTGGAGAGGTCGATCAAGCTCGCAGTGGGCGTCGACTTGGAGGACTGAGCGCTCTCGCAGACGGGGGCCGAGTCTAACTGACGGCAATCACAGGTTCGTCGCTGCCCACTTGGTCTCCCCTGCCCACCCCGCCGAAGACCCCGCTGTGCCGTCCAGTCCCAGAGGGGGACCTCTCCGGAATACTGAACAAAAGGAATAAACCGGACACCGCCCAACCCGAAATTTGGGATTTCGGGTTAGGGGGGGTGGTCTGGGAGGCAGTCAGTTCGCGTCGTGTCGACGCGGCGGCGACCCCGGCGCGGGAGTTCAAGGTTGCACGCCAGCGGCGGCCCGGAATCGCACAGTTGTGGTCGCTTAAAGTTGCGCTATCGACGCGGTGTCGGAAGCCAGCGCCCAGGTCGTCACGGCACGAGCCTGCCGTGGGGGAGCGCGCGATCCGACGATGGGAGTGACATCATTGCGTTTCTTGTACAGAGTCTTTATCGACTAGTCACTGCGGCCTTCTGCTCGGCCAGCGCTGGCTCGCGAGCGTGCGCAGCCGTGCTTCTGTACAGGTGCTGCGGTGCGGAGCAGCAAAATCATCTGCCCCCCTCCTATCTGCCCCCCCTCCCTTGCCGCTTGCTGCCCGTGTTGTCGCGTAGCAAACAACTACAGAAACGTGCGTTGTCTGAGATGCGCGCGGATCTCTTGGATCGGCGCTAGAGCATCCCTCCCTGGAGCGCGCTGCGCGACGGGGGCGACTCCAGAGGCGCCTCCAGGGGTCCCATGCGCCGATCCAAGAAACCCGCGCCGAGCTCCGAAAGTGTGAGTCTATGCCGTACGTGTGTTCCTCTAGTGTTGGGCTCTCTCCCCTTGGGGTTGGCCGTGAGGCCGCCGCCCCCATCGGACGGACTTGCTACGTCGGGGGGGGGCTGGCCGCTCGCCAGGGGTGAGCAGCGCAATTTGTGACGTTTCGCGTATCCTTTCAAGCCCTTCAGAAACAGTTCCTACGCGAGTTGCGTTGACAGGGTAACATCAGAGCTCGCAGGGATAAATGAGGGGTATCCGCCCAAGCAACCTCGTGTCATGTGTCGTATCGTCATGACTAGCTGCTTGCGTCAAGTCCCGCCACCCTGCGAGCCTAGCACTCTGCATGGGTGACGGTTGTGTTCGAGGAACTCACAGGAAGCCGTATAACGCACATTGTGTGCCGAGGCTTGAGAGAGCCGTAACATGTGGCATGCTCTTCCGCATCGTGTCGGGGTCTCTCCCTTCGTGTTCGTCGTATTCCTCCCTCCCTCTTCTTCTTTCCTCTCTTGGAGCCTGTTGGATGCCTCTTCGAGGCCTCACGGGACCTTGGGCTTATTGGGATGTTATTAGCGTTTCTGGGCAGATTGGCAGTTTCGGTGTTCGTCTTAGAAGCTAATCTGAGTTGTCTTGGGGCCCTCTTGGAGCGCTGAAGAGTCGGCTTGGGGGTCGATTGCGCCAGCTTGGGGCCTCCTTGGGACTTCATGAGGCCATCCTGGAGGTACCTTGGTCAATCTTGGGGCCCCTAGGGTCACATATGAAGTTCGAACGGGCAGTCTTGAGCTGACGGAATCAGGGAAACGTGGGTACGCTAAAATGAACCAACACGCAAGGGAAACCATGGAATTTGTAATTTGCCTGGCTTCCCTGGAGGTCCTCCCGGCGTCATATTGGGCCGTGTCGGGGGGCCTCTCGAGCAGTCTTGCGGCAATCCTGGGCCGTCTTGGAGGCATCATGGCCCATCCTGGCGGCCTCGCTGGCCTGTCCGGGCCGCTTTGGAGGCAATTTTTCAGGAGGGGAAGCAACACACAGACACAATTACACGTTGAATCCGTAGGAAAAGATGGGAAAATATAGGAAGTGCGGGGGGAAGACGAACAACCAGAAATATGGATAAATGGATGGAATCCGGGCATTGTGTCGATTTATTTGAGTGTCCTTGGGCGCCTTCAATTTGGGGCGTTCTGGACGCTTCAGAAGACCTCGAGAGGGGCGCCAGGCCGCCTAGCAATCCTCGCGAGAGGGGGGGGGTGATGCATGCAGCAAGAGATGCGCCGAGAGGGAGGGGGCGGCCCAGGGGAACCATGGAAGCCCTGCTCACACTCGAAGAGGGAAGAACGACCTGAGCATGCACTGTCGGAGGTCCGCGCGGCCCCCCGATCGGAGGTCTACTCCGGGATCGGCGCTGGTCCCCCGCGGCGCCACGAGCGCCGCAGCTGGCGCGCTCCGCGCGCCAGCCAGGGGGAGAGTCAGCGCCGATCGAAGGCCTCCGCGCGGAGCTCCGAAAGCGGACGCTCATGGCGCTCTTCCTGCCCCCCGGGGCCTGGCCTGCCTCTCCTGCTCAGGTCTGCCCCTCTGCGGGCCTGCGCCTGCGGCACGCACGTGCAGGGTCTGCCGTCTCTGGCCGTGCTCCGCTGCCTGCGGCCCCCCCCTTCTCCCCCCCTGCGCCCCTCCGTCGTGCTCTGTGCACAATTGCGGCCCTCAGATGGGGCCGGACCTGACTGCAGTCGGCCTGGATTGGAGAGGACGCGAGAGGGCACAAGACCCGTCCGAGGGCCACGTTGCCACAGAAATGCAGGAGGCATGGGTCGCAAGACACGGGACACGAGGGTACCCTTGATCTGGCAGGGTCGACCTACTAATCCGGGCCGCCTGTAGATGGGGTCGGGGGATCGCGCCGCATCGCAGATGCCTCGGCGATGCGGCTCAATGTGGAGCCGAGTGTTCTCCGCGCCGACGTCGCCGGCGCGTCGCCGACGTCGCCGGTGCATCGCCGCTGCATCGCCGATTGGCGCGATTGGCCGAGACGATTGG